CCACTTATGACCTTGGACTCCTCCTATTGGTTGTTGGCTGTTTCAGTTTATCAGTGCAATTGGTATCTGTTAAGGTCGTTTGGGGGCATAAATACACGAAAGCGCTGTTGATACGAGACAGACAGTACAAGCTCACTTCAACAACGGTCTGTCTCCTCTTGTTGAGTCGCGATTTCAGTGGTGTCTTATCGTATTATTGTTGTCGTTGTTGCTGCTAATATTGATTAGAACAATAGACTCGCGAATCAACTAGGTGGGAAATTCGATAGGGTAGACTATCAAGTGTATTACCAATTATATCAAAGATAGAAGCTTTGCATCTGTCGTCGTTTGTTAAAATCCCTAGCTACAAATTTGATGCAAAGTTATTTCACCTCTGATTTTCGAGCTTCCAGGATTTATTGATAAAATAAAAGGATTGTTTTACTAAGCTACTCGGATTATTTTTAGAACTAAGCTAACAAAAAGATATTTATAACACACCAGGCAATAAACCACACATACTGTGGGAGCTAGTCGTACTACCCAGCTGTCCAGCCTGAAGTAGAATGAGGCAAGATTTGAATGCGTAATAAATAAGCTGTCCACTGTACTATATATCACAGATTATCAGCAGCCAGAGTCTATGGGTCATCGGATTCCAGCCTAGTGACTAAATGTTAACGAGCTTGCCTCATTATCCAAAAATCCTCGGTGGGGTCATGGACGCATGCTTCTGTAGAGACTAAAGGTGGGACGAAACAACTAAGCAGTACTCCCAGATATTCAATGGTTCTTCAGACAATACCAGTTTGGCAGACAAACGCTGCGAGCTGACTATTATTTAGGCCAACCAACCAACTATCTTCTATTTTCTTGTATTACAAACATTTAGCCCAATGAGTAGTGGTAATCAAAACTCAATGATTTGGTCTACAAGTCGGCTGTTAAGCTAAATGAGCGAGCACCACTGTAATACGTTGGGAAGATGTTAAAAAGCAATCAACAACCTTTAAGAATGCGAAAAGTGTACTTTAGTGCAAGCTGCTGATAGATTTTGTTGCTTAGTTAGAATCATTATCGATAGAGACTCAAACTGTATACTGGCTACGATTAGAATTAATATCAGATGATCCCTAATGGGATGATCAACTCATATATAACTCACTGACAGGAAATAGTCATCCCTGGAAATTAGATAAAATTTTAAGAAATACTCAAGCGTCAATTATTCTGTATCAAAGATCACCATAGTAACTAATTACAAAAAATGATGACATCTAAGTTTTATAAAATCTTGTTAAACCATACTGAAGATTGTTGCGCTTTTAGACTCTTAATCCTTTTGCATGTAGAGAAATCTGCTTGATATAAGGATAAGAATTCGGCACTGTGACCGAAGAGTATAACTCCATCATAGATAAGATTTTATTCTGATACAGTGTCACACAGTGAGTAATGTTTACTGATGACCGACCTTCGAGCACAAACTATTTCCGCTCATAATCGTATCAAGGTACTCAAATAAACATGAGTAAAGATTGATGATTAGACATTCGAATAAAATCAATATAAAGGTAGGGTGTGAGGACAAATACTCGCCGAAGACAGTGGCTAGCGGTTGCACTATATCGTGAATTAGCAGAAGTTAGAATTCATGGGCCATTGGATTGGGTACCAGTGGCTTAATGGTATACGAGCTCGCCTTGTAACCGGAAGGTCCTGGGTTCGAATCCCGGTGGGTGCGTGTTGCTGAAGAGTCCCAATCTAGACTGACGAAACAGCTGTTCAGTACTCTCAGGTTTTGTAATAGTTCTCTAACTGATGTCAGCTCATGATGAAATCCTGTAATCAGTTAACCAAATCCCTACAAACCAATACTTGAAAATCAATATAGGATAATGTACATTCCGACACAGTATTACTGTTATCAATAAAATACAATCAGATGGGAAGTAAGATGTTTTTAGAGTAAAATAAATAAACAACTTGTTGGAATGTTGTAATGTGAATTGAAATAAATAAATTCTTCAGAAAGATCAAAAAAGGTCAAAAGTAAAATAAAAATAATTGTGAAACAGAGAATATAAGGCATCTATAGTTATACAATACAAGGAGGGGACATCTGACATCCAACGTGGTAGGATTCTCAGTAAAGCAGGAATTAGGGTGACATTTAAACCTACAAACTCACTGAGGTAGGACACGCTCTGTAGACTAAAAGACCCTGTAGGTTGACATTATTAAACAAAATATAATTTAAAAAATACCTTGCAATGACTGTGAGCGACGTCAACTAAAAGGGTCAAACCAGTAGATCAGAAGTAGTGAGATTATCAGAATATAAGAATTTAGCTAGGGTTAGAATGGTTGACCTAGCGAAGATAAGTCATTTCGAAAGAAAAAGAACTCAGCTATTGCACAGCATGCCTTAAAAAACAACCACACAATAGGGTGGGTGGGATAGAGTCCAGATTCTAAGACGGGAATATAAGTAGGTGGAGAGACAGTGAGATTGATTTCTGAATCCTTCCTGGTTCATCGTGTCTACACCCAACACAACAACACATGCATCAGAAATGAGTCAGCGCAAACACCAGAGATATCGAGGATATTATTACCACCAGTCAAATCACAGGAGAATAATAAATAATGTTAAAATGGATTCAGTTCACATTATAACATCCTAAGACGTTATATTTTTTTTTATCTTACTATAAAAGTCATCTTATTTCACATCTGATAGTATTCGATTGATAACAGTAATACTACTTCCGAATGTACTTTATCTTATATAGACTTGATTCAAATGTTTAATCAATTTCACTCATGTATAAAAAATGAAGTAAAAAGTTGTGTCAGTGACTTGATATGATTATGAGCGGTAATAACTTGTACTGGAAACGTGGTCATCAGTGAATATTACTTACTGTATGACACTGTGTGATTTATCAAAATAAAATCTGATTCATTATGGATAGATGAGGCTTCAGCTATCAACCCATCGGCCAAAATGCATCTTGTTACAAAACGGAAAAGTGAGTCTTACAATCGAGAAAAGTTTATAACCGAAACTTCTTTTCTATAGTTTTGGTTTGTAAGGATTAGTTATGTTTTTACGAGTTGATCACGGATTGATATCAGTTAGAGAACCATTGAAAACCAGGGAGTACTGGACAGCTGCTGTTTCATCCTAGTTTTTGGAATCATCGGCAGTACGCACAGAGAGTTTTCAATGGTTCTCTAACTGATATCAATCCGTGATCAACTCGTAAAAACATAACTAACCCTTACAAAACCAAAACTATAGAAAATTAATCTGATGCTCGCTAGTAACTTACTACAGGTTGGAGTTTCCTGAGTTCTAGTGAGAAGTCGTAACCAGTGAGGTCCAATTCGATGTCACGTGTGTGGATGGATGTCCCACCAACGACAATGGTTGGGGCTGCGCTAAATCACGAATTGGTAGAAGTTAGAATTCATGGATTGGCCATTGAATCGGGTCCCAGTGGCTGAATGGTATACGAGCCCGGTAGCCTTGTAACCGGAAGGTCCTGGGTTCGAATCCTGGCAGTGGGTGTGTACTTCCGATGATTCCCAAACTAGGATGAAACTTCTTTATCGGATCAAATGAGAGTATATTTAATAGGGATTATTTAACATCAGTTTACAACTACTGGAAAATTCTGATACCCTTACCATAAATGAAACGGTACAAAAATATAAAGAAAATCTAGTCGTGAATAGAGGGGATTGTGCGATGAAATAGGAGGAGGAGGTGAAGAGAGATTATGAGCAATCATCTCAGTAGTCAGATGAAGAGGACACCAGAAAACAGAGCAAAGTGGAGATGTGTCGATGAAGCCCCCTATGTTCCACTTGGAACCCAAGAGAATAATAACGATAACAGTTAAACGACGTGCGCAGCAATTCACTCTGTCCTTCTTTAAAAGTGTAAGATATTGAAAGATGGTTACCGGGAGACTCATGAAGAAATTTAAATCATTTCACTTTATCCTAAATACTGCGCTAAAGATGTCGTCCAGAAAGACGATGAAAGCTCCGCAATTAAACCAAGGAGCTCAGAGAACACTATCAATTGCAAAAGGCTGGCTGTCCTTGATCACAGATGTTCACGTTCTATCTACAGTGTTAAGTGATACATTCCAGCACGTAATATTAAGGTTAAGCGAAGAGTGCTAAGTAAGAAAGGAAAGTCAACCGATGAGGTTGTGAAGCTGCATGGACTGAGATGGTTAGGACACGTGTTACACATGCCAAGTCACTGTTATAGATCAACTAAGTCCTCATGTTTCCCAATGTAATTATTCTTATCATGTGCATTCGTGTTTTTTGTGTTTCTTTTGAATTTTTTTGTCTTCATCTGTGTGTTGGGGCACTTCTCTACAAACTCCTGAGTTGAAGCTAAGTCAACTTACATTTGAGAAATAATGAGTGGAAGACGAAATTCTTCTATGAGAATAGTATCATTGTCATCCAACACGGGTTCTATAGATTATTGTCATCGGTGTATACACTCAGAGAAGATATTCTCCAGGGAAACAACAGAGATGAAATATTTTCAAGTATCGGTTTTGTAGGGCTTTTGTTTGATTGGTTGGAGGATTTTATCACCGGTTGACATCAGTCACCTGAGGTTCTAGTGGGAAGCCGTGACCAGTAGGATACAGCAGGTTGAAGGTGGGGCAGTAAAACTCATCGAAGAAGACATTGCGAAGTGGTCGTGCTATGTTATGAATTGGCAGAAGCTAAAATTCATGGGCTAGCCACTGAAGAGTCGGATCCCAGTGGTTGATGAATGATCCACGAGTTAGCTCACCCTGTAACCAGAAGGCCCTAAGTTCGAATAATTATGATAGTATAACAATAAGTCAGGTCACACAGCCGAATCACTGCTCACTAGTGTGTTATGTAAAAGACTGCGGATCATCTGAATATTTTTGGGTTCATCAAGATAATACATTATAAACCAGTGCATATTTTTATCTTTCTTTACACAGTCACCTTTATTCAAAATGATAACCAATAATATAACAGAATTCCTCTCCAAATGAATGCTTCTCATCAAATGGATGAAAGTACTTCACCGATTAATTCTACAGACTTTATGATTGATTTAATCTTTGTCAATGATACTACAGAAACATTGATAACAAGTACACTACAGTATAATACCTCACCGACGCTATCAACTGCTCAGCGTAGTATAATTCAGCATTATAAAGACAATCATAGCAAAACTCTAATCATCAAATCAAATCAATCCTTGGTCAAAGGTATTCGTAATGCTCTTGATCAACCGTTAGCTGGTTTAATTGTGATCGGTTCATTATTTTTTACAATTAGTCTACTGTTGGCTTTAATTGTATTTATATTCTATAAAAAGCGTAACACTGTATTTGTATATGAGAAAAGTCAACACAGTGGACTGTATTCATCTGCTCACGATAGATCCATAGTGATCGGTCAAAGAAAACAAGCCCGACAGATACATCATAAACACACGATGGCTCCAGATGGAAATAATAATTCAGCTGAAAGTTCAAATGATGATGATGAGGAGGATTACGAGGATGAGGAAGATACTGAAATTGAGTACAATTTTAGTCTATGCAATACGAATGACGACGACAATGGCAGTGGCAGTGGCGGCGGTGAAAATCATGTGAATGCGAATGAAATTGAATTAAAAAGTCATAATACGAAAGCATCTTATATAATACGACCAAAGTATGAAATTTTACAAAATCCTCAGTGTATAGTAAAACTATCATACAACAATATGAAGCATTCGTTACGTGTAAATGATGGCATTAAAAATTATGAAGAATTATCAGTAGACAATATGCACAAAGTAACCTTGATTTTCTGCATAATTTGTATTCATGATTTACGCTAATAACTCGAATTAATCAATATTTTGCTTATAGCGTATATTTATTTCCCGTGATGAATGATTTTATGAATGCATCGATGACTCAGTGGTAGAATGTTCGCCAACTATGCCACACATCATCTAGGTCCGACATCAAACTATCGCGCATCTCAGTCTCCCTTAGATTACTTCGCCTTTTCATCTCTTGTGCTTCAAACTTTGAAGTTTCTGCATCAATGGCGTTTGCTTCTACGATCTAGGATTGCTGGCCTCACACCCAACTATACTTCTTCTCTGGGCTTACTGTCAGAAAGAAAAACTAGGCATGAACGAAACTTGGGTCACGTGAGTGGTGGGCGAATATTCTGTCATTGAACCACTAATGCGCGGCTTAAGACTACCAACTTCACCTAATAAAGACATAACCATCGCTAATTTAGCATCGATGTTTAAAACTCTAGGTCCTGTGTATTCCACTCGGAACGGAAGGAATGCAAGAATGAATATTTCGGCAATTTCTAAAGTCTTACCGGTATATTATTTGCGTGAAAATCAAAGGCAAATGTTTGTCCTCTTTTCATATTAGAAAGTTAGATATATCTGCTGTCCAGTAGACAATGGAGTCCACGTGAACCAACGCATGATGCAGAGGAGGTGACCGTCGTAATTTGTCAGATTAATGGATAATAGTCTTAATTTCTGGTTTTGGATATTACAGTCGAATACCAGACAAGTCAATGGCATATATTTCATACAACTGTTGATGAGACATTCAGAATGTTAGTCTACTGAGCACACATATACACGATGCTACTTGGTTAGAGATACATTATCTCGTCCTAGGCCTGATGAGACTTCTAGGTCGCTTCAACAGAATTGGGTGAAGTAAGACTCAAAAGGTTAAGCGCTTAGGCAAATGATCTACCTCCTCACAAGTCAATGTTCAGAGCGTCTCAAATTATGATCATAACATTGTTTTGCGAAAACCCTTGAAAGGTTAGTGTTCACAATAGTACACTGCCTGTTTTTAGTGTTTGTAAATAGTATGACTATGCTATTGAGAGAAATCTGTGCATAATTTTTGGACGAAAAGTACTTGAGTGGTTCGTTGAGTGTCAGAGTTCCTCATTTTTGACTGAAGACTAGTCAGTAATTAGTGCAATGTGTCCAGTCTTGTATTTATTTGATTGAGACTGAATTCTGTCAGTTAGTGAAGTTTACAATGTGGCCACCATGTTAGATGGCTCGCCATCATGGTGCACTTTGAATTGCTGAAGGTAAACGTGACTGATAAAATTCAGTCTGCATAGAACAAACGACCAGACACGTCACATTAGCTACTGAATAGTATCCAATCAAAAATACCCAATACAGTCCTTAAGGGAGGTCAATCGCGAGCCCAAATAGCTCAGTAGTAACCTCTCTGACCGCAAGCAGCACTGGATGATATAGATTCGAATCTCAGAAGGGACATGAATTCCTTAAAGATTGCAGATATGCCTTGACGACTGGTGTGTGTGTGCCAACCAGAGCCAAACCTAGCTCTAGTCAAGGCTTCCTGTAGCCGATTGCTTCCAACCATCTAGGAGCAAGAGTCCCTAATTGCTTATTCTTTTTGTACCGACCAGTTGATGTTTAGTATGGTACAAAAGAATGGTTGGCAAAACTTCTAAAGCCTACTGTATCAGAGAATAATAAGGTTTTTGAAAAAGGTATTATTTATGCTTTCCTTTTAAACAAACACCTTTGTTGTCTCTTCTTTCCAGACGATTCGGTATCAATCAAAACACCATGGAAATCATTTGTTGGTGTATAATGGTCAAGTTATTAGAAATCCAAGATTTGTATTGTGTCCTAAACATGCACATCTATTGAACAGTCAAAACAAATCGGTCATACCGAATGAAGAAAGACATCAGCAGACATCAACACATTAAGATGTTGACTCAGTCGAAAATGGAGACAAACGAGCTGTTTAATAAAAAAGGTTATACATATACTGGAATATCTACTGATAAGCAGTAATAGCAGAAGAGTAATAAAATAATGTTTTTACGTTTTCTAATGTACTCATCGACGCAGAACGCATTTGTGTGAATATATATATATATATATATATATATATATATATATAATAAATTCTCTTTTGTATGCTACTTATTTTGATTTGAGTAATGCATTGTTTTCTACACAAAAAGTATTGCTAGATGTAATGAAGTAATATTATTATTATTCCCATGGGTTCCAACTGCAGCATAGGGTTACAACAACACATCACCACTTTATTATGCTTTTTTGCTTGCCTCTTTAACTGAATCCAATATTCCCCATAATCTCTCATCTCTTTCCCATCATATGGTCACCTTCATGACACCTACAAAGTGACAATACACTAGTCGCTTCACATTGAAATTCCACTCGAGCGATGGCCTGAACTGTGCACAGTGTCATTCTCTTCAGTGACATGTGCCCAATACATCTGCATTTTCTTCGAAATGCCTGTTGAGCGATTGACTCTTGGTTGTCTTGTCCCTAGCCAGAGTTTATTGTTATTAATTTTCTATGGCCATTTGATCTTCAGCTCTCAGCCAGCAAAGGCAACTGTTGACAAAAGTCTGTGATTTGTTGAAAGTGCTTTACGTGATGCGCCATGTTTTCAATCCATGTAGAAGAACTGAATGACTTGGCATTTATTTTGAAGTTCGAATCTTGTTCTTGATGCTAAGACAGTGCAAAAGATTTCCAAACCGATTTCAGTATTCACTTCAGAAACTTCGCTGAGTTATTCATTGTGGATGACTTGACATGTGACATTGTCATATCGCCAACTGTTGAATGAAGTTGACGAGGATTTTCAGCACTGCACGCTTAAGTGCTGAAGCAGTTTCCAAATTACTTCTTGGTCAATGCTGTCTGTTGAAGGACTTTTCGAAGTGGATGAAGGAAGTTGAGGTAGAGGTTTCACTGCCATTCTATGCCTTGTTCGATGACGATTCTTAGAGTTGCAATTCGATCAGAACATTATTTGCCTTTCCTGAATCCACCTTGTTCCGGTTGGCAGGGTAGTTCTGCATCCAGTACATCTTTTATTCTCTCCAGGATCATGCGACTTAGTATTTTATTTGGTGTGGACAAAAGAATTATTCCACGTCAGTTCTTGCAAAGCCCTAAGTTACCCTATTTTTAGTAGCTTAGCAACGTAGCCTTGCTTTCAATGAATAGGCAGCTTTCCTTCCTTTCAAACTTTTTGCAATAATGACACTAGCATATTTACTGACGTCTCTGAGTCTGTTTTTAGAACGTCTGGGGGAATTTCGTCTGGCCCTGCTGCTTTTTGGGACTTCAGTAGCTTGGTCTCATTCAAGACTTCTGCTTTCATTGGAGAACTGGTGTCCACTGATAGGCAGTATTGTGCGCGCTGTCGGTGGTATTTCTGGGCGAGATGTAAGTGATGATCGGTGAAGTAAACTCCCCCAAGGTCCTTATCATGTATCTTAAGATGATACGAAGCTGTCAACGCATTCAGATTAGTGTAAAAGTATAATTAGTGTCAATCTTACAATGCCAAACACTGTGTACTGAACTCCATGATAAGATCAAGTGCCCGACAGAGCCAAGTGTTAGTGATCCCTGTCTGTTGAAGCACATCAGCAAAGCGTGTTATAAACTTTCTTTCACGCATCAGTTGCCCCAAAGATGGAAATTCTACCACAAATCTAAATATCCTACAATGAAATATAAAGCAATCTAACCCTTAGTTTAGAAATCAGTTAGAATATTTAGTGGCAACCGGTGCTATTAACTCTTCAGAAAGAGATTCTAAATTCTTCTTCATTATATGACGGTACTTTAACGTACGTACGCGGAGAAGATACGCCCAACTGGTTAGGTGATAGAATAGAGTGAGTAATATTGCGGATGCCCGGCGCTCTCCACCGGGTTGACTGTCCATTGGATGACAGTCTAGGGGAGATGGCTAAACCCTGATTCCAAACCTCCAACGATTGGCGTATGAAGCTCACTGGAGCTCACTGGCAGACGTATGGACAAAGGGCTTGTTGGATACCCTGGATTTCTGGCCCCATTCAAAAAGGCGTATGAACCGAACTCCGGTCATCGGCTGCCAATGGATAGTGGACTCCTTACTCCACTCCTACTGCCTTGTAGGTCACACTTGGTTGTGTAAAGGCTAGAGCTGCACTCTCAAACAAAAGGCCGAGCGATGCTGGGGACATCACTCGTACCAAATTCCCATGAAACTTCATGAACTCTCTTACAAATTGCCGCGCCTGGGCAGCGATGATTCGAGACGTTCATGAAGCCGGCTCATCCTCCCGTAGGAGATAGCCGAAGTAAAGTAAAGTAAGTAAGTATTGAGATTAGGCTTCGGTCGAGTGTGTCGGTGGTACAGCGGTTAGGACTCTCGCCGACCATGCACATGGTCCGGGGTTCGATCCCCTGCCGACGCACACCTGATATCTATGGTAGGCCTGCAAAATTCGGGCTACCGATATCCCTGCTGAAAATTCCATACTTGTACCTAAAATAAGGTGTGGAGTCAAGCTATAATCATAATAAATAAATAAAGGTGGGAGGGGAAATCAATCGACGAGGCTGTGAAGCAGTTGCATCGATTCAGATGGTTAGGAAATGTGTTACGCATGCCTAATCTAGCCATCGCCCGCCTTGACAACGAGCAATGTTAGCTGACTGACATACGGTGGATCAGGATGGAAAAGAGAAAGCTAGTGGTGGTCGAACAGGACAGGAATGGAATTCTTGTTGATAAGATTATTTATTAATAATTCAAAATAATCTCACAGAAGACTATCTTTTGAGGCGTTGGTGGCATAGAGGTTAGGACGCTCGCCGACCGTATACATGGCCCGAGGTTCGATCCCCGGCCGACGTACTCTTTACCTTGCTAAGCCAGAAATAATGCTGGTAAAGAGGAAAGGTTGGGCATGAGGCTTGCAACCCCATACTGTAAAATAAACGCTGCTACAGAGACTTCAAGTCACATATAGGTAACGGCTGACATGAATCAAAGACTAAATATCTACTAGCAGCATGTGTTGCCTTTTTATAAACGCTTTCTATAACCATTCAAAACCAGTACTGGAGTACTGGGCAGCTGTTTCATCCTAGTGTGACCACAGAAGACAAGGGCGAGGCAACAGATCGGTTATTAAGGAAATCAGCACGTATTTATATATAAAGATATGACACTTTAGTTATCATGCTGACTCCCAACACTGTTATGCTAGATTTGAAATACTTTCAATACGTCCCATCTTATTGCATACCCGTAAGCAGCTGCATGAATTTCTAGAGTCAAACTACTTTCTAGATTTTGCTAAGTTTTTATTTTGCCCTGATAATCTGATTAAATGGATCAAGAACCACAAACACATACCAGGTTAATCTGAGCTCAATTAAAGATCTGAACATGATAAGGAGTACTCGATTCGAACTAAGAGTAAGCAACGTTGGTCACGAATGATGTAAGTTGTTGAATAATCAGCAGAGTGAAAAAGATCGACTATTTATAGACGAATTGCATGACTAAGCTTGGAAAAAAAGGATAGACAGAGTTGAACAGATGTCTTGTGGATACAAACAAAGTTTGGCTGGACGGAGTATAGAAAGTAGTAGATTACGTCACCGCAAAAAACCACGTTTTTATATAATAGGTAAAAGGGGTGGGGTTAGGCTGAATAGTGCTTAGACGAAAACAACAAGGTTTCTAAACAAGACAGAAGACGACTTAGTGCAATTTGTATGCTTTGTTATCACCATGGCAGTGCAAGATTCACCATTGTCTCCTTCTGCGTACATAGATTTGGTTTAAGCCGTTTGATGGCGATTGCCTCAACAAAACATGACAGGCTAGACTTCTATTGTCTGTTGATTATTTTGAACGCCTCCAGATTGTCCACAACATGGCTGGTATCTAGTAGATGGCGTGGAATCTCACTGTTTAATGTTTGTGGGCCCTTTAGTTCCAGGTTCATCGGTAAATGTGGGTAGATGCGGACGGTAAGTCTTCTCTCTGTTCTTCCAATAAGTCTGCAACAACATCTGGTCGTTTGGTGAACACATACAAGCTTGGCGGCTAGATATGTTCTTTTCAGAGCAGCATTCAGTCTGCATCTTATTCTACTCGCAGTATGATCACCATTGAAGGCATGCTGTTGAGAGATGGGCTGTTTCTCTGTTTTATCGCACTTAACCTTGTCAACACTAAGTTTTCCATGTTTGTCGATGAACCTCTGTGGGTAACCATTATCACGTAGGCACTTCTCCTCCACTTTTTCTTCTGAACAAAGCTTCCTTACACCGTCAAACAGAGCTCTCACCAACCAATTTTCGTAACCTATTGGGCAGAAGCTTTTGAAGTTGAGGGAAATCACCGTCCAAGTCTCCTTTCTATAGATGTACTTCATGACTTTACCACCTATATCATGTTCGATGCCAAGGTCTAGAAAGCGAAACGTGTCCTCATGCTTCACACTCCGTTGTAAACTTTATATTAGGATGAGCACTATTCAGGACGTTTATTATTTGAGATGCGTCATTGAAATAGTCACAAATGACAATCGTTTCACCAGCATACCTGGCATAGAGGTCTGTTTGATTGATTGCGGCTTTCATTCATGTTTGTTCCAAGTTCCCATAGTAATGTCTGCCAGAATCTGACCCAGTAGACTTCCCATAGCGACTCTCCAATTTTGCAGTGTAGGACATTGATTGTTAAACTGAAACTGTGTGTCCTTAGTACATATTAGCAGCAGCTGTCTGAGTTCATTCTTTTGCAGAAGAATGTGATCAGCATGTTGACACCTAATTTGTATTGTTTCTTCTAGCGGGATTTTTGTAAACAGCGAAGAGATGTCAAATGATACCATGAATTCATTTGAGACCTTTATATTCTCTTGTAACAACAAAAGACAAGAGTCAGGCAACAGATCGTTTATTAAGGAAATCAGCACGTATTTATATATATTTCGTGTACATTATTATAGCTTATTCAAGCAGACAAACAGTCTTCTGATTGGTTGTTTCTTGCTCAAGGTTATGCTGTACTGCT